TCCTCACTGGCTCTCCCGCCTCAGCCTGTCAGCTTACATCCTTCCCCCATAATCCGCTGACATTCTCGTTAAAAGTACCATCACTTTGCCCCGGTATCTCTGCAATCAATCTCTCATTGCTTGAAGCACCGTCGCAAATGCCATTTCCTGCTTCAGAAGGTCAAGTGCTCAGCCTGGATCTTCTTCTCGTCTGTCAGGAATTACCCGTTGGACCTCCTAATGCAGAGGGGTCACTTCCCTGAGATTTGCAAGAAAGATTGGACTCTGATCCATGACCTCCACTTCAAGCTCCATATAACCATGTATTTATTTTGTTTCTCTCTCGCAAACATGTGCATAAGAGAGGGAGATGTGCTTTCCACAGAGTGAATGGACCCGTGTTCCTGTCTGTGTGCACCTCCAGACCACAAGGAAGCAACACAGCGTGCCCTGGACTTTCAGAGCAGACATGGGGCCAGGTCAGAGCATCTGTTGTTGACAGGGTAGGTGGGCAGTGGGCCTGACCTCTGGGGAAGTGCAGACTAGCTATTCACAGAGTAATGCATGGATGTTTGATGCACAAAAGCTGGCTTGGCCTTACCAAGTGCAAGCCCGCAGGTCTAGAAGAAGATCTTTACCAAGTGCAAGCCCGCAGGTCTAGAAGATCACCACTGGGTCCTTCTTCAAGGGGGTGAGTAAAGTGCTCTGTGTTGCAAGAGGCAGGGGAAAAGTGAAGGAACATTTGGTTAGTGGCAGGATGACGGGGTGAAGAGAGGAAATCCCCAAGGCAAGAAGCTACACCAGTTGCTTGTGGTGACATAGGAGAGAGTGGGAGCACCCACCAAGGCACTGCTGGAGGCAGCAGTGGCTGACGGACAGGAGGACTGGGGATGGTATTTCTTGAGGTAAGTAGTTGAGTTTAAGCTCCATTGGTGGCTTGGACAACTTGAGCTGAAGGCACAGCCATGTTGCCTTTTGGAGCAGGGCTGACAGTGGCTGGGCAGCACTGTGGGAATACCTTGTTTCCCCAGGCCATTAAAAACCCTGAGATCTGGAGCCACGGAGAAATCCTGTGCCTGCGAGCCCTGAGCCACACTGTCCCACCTGACTGGTAATTGGGAAGAGTCAATTAGCATATTTTAATGTAACTGATTAGTGCCTGGGCACGCAGCCTGGGTGGTGGGTGATGTTTGAAGCAGATTTGAAATTACAAGCATGCAGACACCAAACCACGAGGGAGCTGGCATGGGGGAGAGACGATTTCCCAGCTTAGCAGCTGCGGCCCCAGTTTCTCTGCTATTCCCAGTGGCAAGCTGCCTTCAAAGAGCCCTGCAAAGGTCTGGGGTGAGCACTTGAAAATTAAGAAATTAACTTTTTTAATTAACGGAATTGAGGTGGCTGGAGTGATGGAGGCTCAGCCTCTGCTTTTGCAAAGCCTGAGTCCTGTGGTCTCCTGTGGGGAGGGAGAAGCATCTTGCTTGGGGCTGGGGGTCCCCAGTGAAGGGCTCAGAGCCCTCCCCTGCGCAGCGGGGTGGCAGGTCTGTCGCAGCCGGCTCTGCCCTGGATTTCAGGAGGTGTATGTGGGAGGTGCTGCCCTGCATTTGGGCTCTGGCATCAGGCTGTGGGGCAGCCCGGAGGGCCCTGGCCAGGTTGTGGATGGGTCTGGCACTGCCTCAGCCTGGGATGGTGCCTGCATCCCTCCTGCGCTCTGGGGACCCAGCAGTGGTTACACTGAGAGAAGTGGCTGCCTACAGAAGCTCTGTTTCCTTAGTTACGGCAGGCAGGAGGTATTTCGGGAAGGAGCAGGCAGCCCTGGGAAAGGCAGGCATGTCTCGGGAGAGGGGGGCTAACACTGCCCTGAGGAGCCCCCTTTCTCCTGCCACCTTCCCCGGGGCTGTGCGAGGCAGGGGGGTTCACCAATACTTCCCTTACACGATGACTAAACTGCCCGGATTGCATTTTCCAGGAGCCCAGCTGGAAGAAATGCCGAGCCCCCAGGGCCGGAGCTGAAGGGCTGCTTCCCAACCACAAGTGGAAACCATCCAACATCACTGGGTAAACACAACTTTAACCTCCACAGGTGTGAGTTTCCATCTCTAACCAGGAGGTAATCCCCAGCTTGTCCCAGGGATGAGAAGAAATTTGTTCCTGCTTTTGAAGCACGAGCATAATGTAATGATGAGGAAAAAATCCTCCAAGGAAGCAATTCTGCCCTGGAAGCAGTTTGCAGGTAAGAAAGTCTGGGGCCTCATCCAGGGCTGCCCTACGTCACAGCCAGCCATTTTATGCCTTTGCCCATTCCCAGCTCCACTTCCCTGGTGCCGTGTCCAGGCCACACACCCCTGTAGTGCCCTGTGCTGGCTCCCACCCCTGCGCTAGGGACAGGAGGGTTCTCTCTGATGGTTGCCTACAGGCAAGCTCTGGCCGAGGGCTCATGGGCTGTGCTGGCTGGCCCATTCTGGTGGGGAGCAGCCTCCATGGGGACATCCTGCAGCGCCATGCCGTCCCAGGCTGGGGCACACACATGGTCTGGTTGGCTCCAGGAGCAGGGACTAAAGGGTATTTTCATTCCTGATCTCTTCAAGTCTGTCCCCAGCCTCGACAAACTGCCATTTTGGGGACATACACCAGCTCCACAGGGGTATTCAAAGGCACCTCTCCTGCTAAAGGCAGTGTTTGGCTCCAGAGCTCAGAGGCACTGGAGCTGCCCAAGGGAGAAACTACCAGCCTTTTTTTTTTTTTTAAACATAGACTTTTTCTCCAGACATCATTCTCAGGAACAGTTGCACCATCTTGCCTGAAATGTGTCTAGACAAACTCAGCGCGATTCCCTGAGCCTGCCTGGAGAAATTCAGCTTAAATATTAAAGCCATAAGTGACGGAAAAGAGGAATTACAATTGGGAGCATCACACAGATGGCAGGACGCAGTGCTACAGCTCCGACGGCGAAGCAGCTCCCTGTGCCTCGTCCTCCCGCTGCCTCCGGCTGCGCTCCGCGTCTCTCCCGTGCTGCTGCAGGGTAATAGGCAACGTGGGAAGGAGAAAAGGGGCTCCCCTGCACACAGGGCTGGAGCCTGAGCCACACGCTGCTTGTGCTTCCCAGGCAAGGGGGGGATTTAAAAAACATGGGATGTCCGAGTTCTTGTGAGACTGCACCTGTAAGGCTCTTTTTGGGCCAAAGTCATGGGCACTGAGGCACAATACATGAAAGAAAATGAAGGAGTTTTTCTCCTTGTTTGGACTCCTTTGTTTCCTTCTTAGTTTATTATTCTATTCTTTTTTATTCTATGCCAGCTAGGTACAATCTGGGCCAGAGTCAGGAAGAAACAAGTGTCTCCAGGGAACAGCTTATGCATGGGGTAGGGTAGGTTTGCCCAGCGTTGTGTGAGCCCTGATGTCTTGGTGGGCCAAGTTCACTCCATTGGGACTGGGGCAGCTCAGCAGCAGCAAGGTTGCCTGTTCTGTGCAGAAGTCAAGATTTCCCAGCAGCATTTGGCAGTTTAAGTGATGGAGCATGTTGGTTTCCAGTTCAGTAGGTCAGAGAAGCCATGGCTTGTGAAAAACACGGTCTGCATTTGCTGAGAAGTAGGGTATGGAATATTGGGGACCCAGTGGCAGATCACAGTCACAAGGCATTTTAGAAAATCCCCATAGATTTGTTTCTCCCACAAGCCCCTGCTGTTCAGCGTTTGCAGAGCACATGTACTAAGCTGGCACAGCTCTCTCTGCTCTTGCCTAAGACAAGACAGTGTCACCTGCTGCAAGGCAGCAGTCAAAGTCTCCAAGCCTTGGTGATGCTGTAAGACTGACGATGGCTTGTCTGGAGTGAGGGGGCAAAGCTGCATAACTTCTCCACATCATACATATTGCTAGGGCTGAAGGAGATGGCAGTGAAAGAGATTTGGAAATCTCTTTTTATTCAGCTGTTCCCTAAAGTTTTAGGCACATGTTGTTTGGGCTGTGGTAGCTCCCAGTCATCACCAGCTGGGGATAAAAGTCTCATTTATAGCAAGGTTTTATCAAAAGGCATCACATTGTAGGCCACCTGTGCTCTGCACCATGCTCCAGTAGAGCAGAAATCAGCTAAAAGCTACCTCAGCCTTGGGGAGCCTAAAAAAAAAAAAAAAGAAAAAAAGAAAAAAACAGTACGAGAGACACCTGGTTTTCACTCCTTGGTTCCTCATGGTCCATGAGCTGTGCCAGTATGAAGTGAGGTTCTTAGCTGGCAGCTCCTTACATGTTTTGGTTCCCTGATGCTTCTCCTGGTAACTGTCAGACTGGAAGGTCTTTTGAGCAGTAGGGGCTGAGCCACTGGACTGTGCTTCTTCAGCCCAAAAGAGATGAAATGAGCCCAAACCAGAGCACGCTGCAGAGCAACAGTATTTACTCAGCATCTGGAGAAGCCACAGATGTGGGACCCCAGGATCCTCATACAAGGTGGTATCCATGAAGCACTTGGAATGTCAGTGAGTCTCCCCTATGGTCACATTCTGCTGGAATGTTAGTGGGTCTTCCCCGTGGTCACATTCTGCTGGCCGTTCCCTGGTAGCCCAGTTGCAGGTGTGTCCCTGATCATCAGTTGGGAACACGGGTGGCTGGGTGAGCCCACCCAGTAGCTTCCCCCTGGCTGTTTCTCCAGCACAGGCCGTTCCACCTGCACCCTCACAGCCTGGGGAAACAGGGAGCAGGGTGGGATGCTTAAGGAAAACCAGGCTCTCCAACCCCCTTTGTGGCTCAGGTCCCTGTCCCACCTGCCGGTCACTCCTGATGGCAGAAATAAGACCCCTAGGAAGTTTCTTAGCGACCAGCCCTGCCCAGCAACCGGGTGATGCTGCATCAACGGCAGAGGTTTTGCAAATGCCGTTGAGGTCTTAAACGCTCCCACCCGCCTGTCCCTGCCCCTGTGTTGGGGGTCCTGACCCCCTGTGCTGCTGACCGCCCCGGGGGCCCGTTCCTCTCTCTCCCGCCCCCTCGGCACACACCCGGGCAGCCATCCCGCTGCTCGTGAGCGGCGGGGCAAAGCCTCAGACCCCGCAGCCGCCCGCTCCCCGCACCGGCAGCGGCCTCGCCGCCTCCTCCCCGCACGGATGCTGCGGGGCGCACGGTAGGCAGCGCGGCGGGGGATGGGGGGGGCTGCCCGCCCCCGCTTCGGGCCAGGAGGCGGCTGGGGCCCGGGGCTACGGCCTCTTTGCGTCCCGGCGGCGCAGGCCCCGGTGCCCGAGCATCGGTGAGGCGAGGGGGGGAGCAAGCCCGGGGTC